GCTCCGCTTTGCTCCGCCGCCGCGCGGCTCCAGGAGACGGGCCTTGGCCGATGGCAGCGGTTGTTGCTAAGGTGCCGCCTTGCCTCGGGCGCCTGGCTCAGTTCTCCCTGGTGCTGCTTTCCTGGGCCAAATGCCAGGAAGGTTATTCCCGCTCTTGCTGCGTAGCCTGGTGGAGAGGACAGCCAGAGGCTTTCACTGGGCAGAACTCACCCCTGTGCCCCCTCTTCTGCGCTTCAGTCCTCCTTGGTACCTCACGCCTTGGTACCTCAGCTGGTAGTCTGGTACCTCAGGCTACCAGCTGCCCCGGCTGTTTTCCTCGAGGGTCCTGCCATGAGATCACAGAGAAAGGGGGGCCCTAGAGTCAAAGAGGAGTTGGGCTGGACGGGACCGGCAGAGGTCATCTAGTCCAGTCCCCTGCCCCAAGCAGGATCACCCCTGTCCAACACATTTTCTACAATCCATCATGGAAACCAGGGGTGGACAATGATTTGGGCTAGAGCGCTGCTTAGCGGGTTTTAGTGAGCTCTTGTGGCCCGGGTCAGCATGCCCCCCACCCCCAAAGGTCACCAACGTTTCCTAAGTGACTCTGCTCCATGCTCGGCAGGGTGGCTGGGACGGGGCTGCAGGCAGGCAGAGTGACATCCAGGAGCAGGACGGGCAGGCTGGGCCAGGGCTGGGATTGTAAAGCCATGATGGCACAGGATCAGGGCTGAGTCACAATCTGCTCCCCATATGTCCCTGTGACGGGCACCAGTTCTGCAGACAGGGGCATGTAGCTCTTCCCTGGGCCCCAGCCCCATGCTGTCACTGGCCCACAATCCTGCGGTCTCTACGGAGTCTTGTTGGGACCTGTGCAGGCAGGGTGCATGGCCAGGTGGATGAGATGGGGCTGCAAGTGGGCAAGGAGTGGTGTCCTGGACGGGTGGGTGGGCCGGGATCTTGGGGCGGTGGTAGCATGGGTCTGGGGCTCCAGCACAGAGCTGCAGTCTGCTCCCCACATGCCCCTGCCCATGCAGGTCCCACCCCTGATGATGGGTGCGGAGTGGATGGGCTGGGGTGCCCAGGCAGTGGGGTTGGGTTTGGCAGCAACAGCAGCCAGAAGGAGCCGCTGCTGCTGGGGCTGCCAGAAAGTGAGTCCAGCTCTACTGCATGCCTGGGGGTGGCAGGACCAGCCACACACACCATGCCCTGGACTGCCCCTCACACGTGGGATGGGCGAGGTCAAGGGACACAGAGTCAGATGAAGTCTTTTGCCATATTTTGCCCACCCCTGATCTAAATTCTACCTAAGACTATCGCCAATGCTATAGCATGCAAGGGTGATTGCTCTTTAATTCTGATCTACTTGGAGAAGTTGGAAGGCTGGGAAATAAGGGAGTAAAGTATGTTACTTAGTGCCTTTGATGCTTCCCTCGGTGTGGTGTTTCTTCCATGTCATGGTGTAGGCAGTGGAATAAAGCTGTATGCTGGTCCTAATTCTCATGGTGGAAACAGGCAGGAGTCTATCCAAGAACCTGTGAGTGTTCCCAGATATATACGGGTGCCCCAAGATGTGGCTCAGGCCTTCATATCACTCCCTGGGCTCTTGCACGGCAGTCCAGTTGCCTGTGGGGATGCCTTGTTGCTATGCAGTTTTATTGCTAGTGTCAATAACCATCCTGCTATATCCCACTCTGAATGAGGAGGTAGCATGCAGCCAGGGGGTTGGGGCATAATGCTGGCTGGAGTCTTCTAACTCTTGGACATGCTCCATAATGTGAAGTCCATTCCCATTCAGATCAGTAGTTCTGAACTGGGGTGTTGTGAGCCACTTCCAGGGATGCTGTGATGTCTGTGTGGCTACAGCCAGGTTAAAATTCCTGTGGAGGTAGATGCGGAAGCAGTTGTGGTAGAGCCCATGTGCTTCCTGCAGCCTTCCCTGGTCCAACCCCACATGCTCCCCCATGAAACAGAGATGCCCTGGGAAAATGGGCCTATCCTGCACCCCTCTATTTCTGGGAGGAGCATACAGGGTCGGACCAGAAAAGCGCGCGCTCTGGCTGCAGCCCTCTGCATTGCCTGTCCAAAGGGGTCTGGCTGGGCAGCAGCAGTCATTTGTATTCCTTACTAGATGAGTCCTGCTGTGCTGGAGCAGACCTTTGCACTAGCTGGATGGAGAAGCTGGGTGTGGGAACCCCCAGGGCAAGTAAGACTGCATTTCTTCCCTCCTCCCAACCCGGAGGCACAAAGGAGTTTTGTCCAGGGCTCAGAACTCATTAGGTAAGCCTATGCTCCTGTCTGTTTTAGGTTTGCCAGAAAACCCTAATACATGATGAAGCTTGTGGTACATCACCCTGGTTGCGAACCACTGAGGCAAGTGGAGGCAGCAATGGTTCTCAACTGAGGTGCTATCAAATTCAGAAAAGCTGTGGAGGGTGCCTTGATTCTAAAAAAGGGTGAGAACCACTGACCCCTATAACACTGTACAGCAACTTGTTTTCTACTTATCCCCTGATATGTGGCAGGGGCCAGAGATCGTTCAGAGTCCTCCGGATGCCACTTTGCTCCTGTTCACTTGGCTGAACTCATTTTTTATTACCCGCTACACCAGGGGTGGCTACTTGTGGTGCACACACTACAAGTAGCATGTGAGCCCTGGGTGCTCAGTAAAGGGAGGTGGAGGAATGGACATAAGAAGAATTGAGCCTTTGGCTACTTGGAGCGAGCGGGGACAGGTTCTTGCTGCAAATGAAGGTGCCAGGTGTCAACACTAAGAGTCAACCCGTCCCTGGCTCTGTAGCTGATGCCAAATTTAGGGCTTTATATCCTCACTCGCCATATTAACTGTGGTGGTTGCAGGGCCTGGCTGTTGGCAGTGACACCTCTCTTACAGCAGCATCTGGCTTCTGCTCCACCCTGCTCAGCTCAAGGCCCCCCTGCCTCCATCCCAGCACCCAGGGTGGAAAATCTTTCAGGTATACCTTTGGGGGGCAGGAATCAGAATGAGCAGAGTGGGGAAGGTCAAGGCCTAACTTGTGCCCTGTCTACCAAGAATGCTCTACACAAAGCAGCTCAGGAAAACATATCATGCAATATAGTTAATAGAAAATGGTTTAAGAAATCTGTGACTAAAATCTAATGCCATTGGTATGTGGCTCTGGAGTCCCATGGGAGTAGGGTTTGGCCCATGTTGCTTAAGTCTTACTGACATTGAACTTGCAAGTCCCCCCTCCCCCACAGGGAAGCGTGCTTGTTTGTGAGATCTTCTTCTAAAAAAGGGAAAACGTGCCCTCCGGGGCTGTGAGGTAACGTTTGTGCGTCACTGACGCACATCTCCTTGTGATGTAAAAATATCTAAATGAAGGTCTCAAGGGACTCTCAGACAGATACCAAAATTACTTTCTCTTCAGTAAACAGAAGGTGGTTCTAGGAGGAGACTTTGTTATAAGCAGAACTACTTTAGATTCACATGCTGGTTTATGCAAATCTTGTGTTCCGATCGCTCAGAGATGATCTTGTTTGCAAAGCTCTTTATCTACTTTTATCCCGCTATTTCCCCTGAGTTTGCTTGCAGCACTTTTAAATAAAGTATTGGTTTCCTGGTCCAGTCAACCTGGGAGACTTTGATAACATGTTGGTTAATGATTATTTTGGGCGATTAGTACTGAGAATGTTTTCACTTTTTTATGTATTCCAGTGACAGACAGCAAGTAGCCATTTTCTTATGTACAGCTTAAACGCAGAAGCTCTTGCCTAGACCCAAGGGCTGAGATCTGCCAATGGAATTAAGTATGGCAACACCATACCTAAGTTTAGGTGTTGGCTCTGGGCATGGAATTCAACCCAATCCAAGCCCAGGTACCTTGAGTGCCCGGTACACTGAAAGGGGAGACGTAGGTACCTCAGGAATGGGGTTTTCAACAGCCAGCACAGCACACTGGTTGGGGAGATAGCAAGCCAATAGGAAACACAGAAGAGAGGTGTGTGCCTGAAATCCCTCCTCGCCGCCAGACTTCAGCACCTGCCTTGCAGGCTTGAGGCAGAGGTGCCAACAGGAGACTGGGATTCATAGCCCAAAACTCCCTCCTGGACTTAGGCACCAAAGTCATTCCCTTGTGTACAGATTTGCTCCTCTCCTTTTGAAGATGGCTGGTGGTGGTGCCCAAGTTTCAGATGAGTAGCTTTGGGACTGAAAAAGGCTATTACGCTGACCTGGGTAGACTCTTAGCCTAAGGTAACGTAAGATGTGCTCTTTAAGTACCCAGTGTAGTCAGTGCTATCATATTAGCAGCCCCCAAACTTACTAGGTCCCTTCCTTCTTGAGACTTCCAATATCTAGTTCTGGCCCTGCTGAAAATGAGTAGAGGTTGCAGCCCTGAACCTGACTGGGTTCCTTTGTTTTCAAGTTTTTAAGAGCAGCCCTTTGACAGCTGCTTCCCCTTTGCTCTTTCTGGAGCAGTTAGACAGTGTATATGACTGCTTATAAAGTAGACATGGATTTACAGCTACCATGCACTTAACTGGAATAATCTTAAATTACAAGGCAGAGAGAGGGGCTAAAAGATACTACACTTTTAAACAGCTTTGCTATTAAATGTTATGCAGACAACGAGAGTATATTATGATGTAAGCACTGGACAACTGTTGGGACGGGTGTTGTATTATGTAGTTAAGCGAATGATGCACTTATCCATGTAAGTGGAGTGCAGTGCAGTAGCCTGGTAGTTGGGGTCCACCCCAAGGCTCTGAGGTGGTTCACTGGGGTTTTGTGGCTTTCTCAGATTTTACCAGAATTGCACTTTAGGTGCTGAATCCTTTCTTGGATCTGACACTAAGTGTTGCAGGTGCTGAGAATCTTCATTCTTGCAGGAGCTGCTGCTGCCCACAACTGCCTGACAGCACGTGTACAAGACCAAGAATTAGGTCTTGGTATAATGAGGACCCTGGGCCTGATGCTGCTTCAATTGAAGCTGATGGCTTCTATCTTCAGTAGGAGGGAAATAGGTCCTCAACAAAGGACCAGCATTTGATACTGTGGTAAACAGACTGGTCTTATACCTTTCATTCAGGCAGATCACAAGCACTTCACAGACTGTCAGTACTGACCACAGGCTAAATAACATTCCTGGGGTAACCCCTCTGAAGTCATTAAAGTTACACCAGGCATAAAGTTAGCCTTGTTGATAAACTTTTCTTCACATACCGCTTACTGAGGTCAACTCAGTAGAAGCATACCAGCTGTCTGACAGCACCCTGTGGCACAAGATGGGAAAATGAAGGCTGTATCCTGCCAAAACTCAGGAGTCATTAAATGGACAAAATGCAGTTATGCCCAAGGAGGACTTTTAACTCCCTACTCTTGGAAATATCGGCTAGTTAATGACCAGAAGTGATCAGAACCCCAGTTTTACACTCTGATAACCAGAGACCAGCTGCTCAGTGTCTGCCAAGAACATAAGGGCCACAGCCTGGTAGCATGTTTATACTACATCAGACCATGCTAGAGAATGGTGCTATAAAAATGCACTCGCCCACTCTCTCATGCTTTTTGCATGCTGAAAAATATGTCAAGTAATTGCCATACTCACAAGTATACCTGAGCCTGAGAACCATGCTATGTATTGGCCAAAAAAGCAGCTACAGGGAAGTGGAGCAAGTGACTGGTGTGTCTTTTCATGACAATACTCATTAGCCCACTCCAATGCAGTGCAGACATAGCCTTACCTCCAAACACTCCTCAAAGATGACCCTGAGGTCTCTCTGTCTCAAAGCCTGAAAGGATGGATAAAGCTGTGTATGGTACAGGTTCTGGTCCAAGGCCTTAGGAGACTTTTACTGTATTCTTTGTGCTTCTCTAGACCATCTGTGACTGTAGGCAGGTCACTTTCTGTGTTTAGATTATAAATTATTTGAGATAGGGACTTTCTCATTGTTTCTGCACAATGCTGGCATAATGGGGCTCCAGTCTCTGTCAGGGCTCTTTAACAGTACTGGATCATCATCTCATTATGCACAGTGCCGCATCATTGTGATGTAGTATATTTTATAAGGTAATTTTAAAAGGGGCACCCTCAGTTCAAGCTGAATGTAAAGCTTATAGTCTGTAAATATTAATTCTTGCTAATTTTTTTCAATTTGCTAACTTGATAAATTGACCTCTTTCCATGAAATCCTTCCTTCCTCTTTCACGTCCTTTTGACAAGGTATTTAGCAGAATTCACAGATTCATTGGAATCTAACATGGCCATGCTGTGAGCACTTCTGCTGTGGCTTTGAATTTGTGACCTCTGAGATGTCAACTGTACACCTTAGCACCCATGGCATCCCAGCTCCTTTCCATGTAATGAAAAAATCTAATGAAAAAATCCTGAATTGCTTGCAACACTACAGAATTTTTATAAAGTAAAGCAATACATGCTTTTATGCTGAAATAAAATGACACCAGAAGTATACACTAGATTTTAAACTTTTTGATAATTTAAGGCAGTGCTGCCCAACTGGTGTCCCAGGGGTTGCATGTGGCCTGCAAGGTGCTAACTCATGGCCCCTGGGGCTCCTGCATGGCTGCTGCTCCAGCCATTGCTTCAGCTGCTGCTGCAGGGTCTCTGGGTTCCCCATCCCTCATCGTGCTTCTGCTTCCTTCCCCCAACCCCAGGGACATGGCATCATAGCCCACGGAGTCTGGGGCTCAAGGGACCCTACACAGTGGGGTTACCCATGCACTGAGGGGAACCTGGAGGAGCCCCTGCAACAAGGCAAGCATGGTGGGGGAAGCATGGGATATCCTGCCTGCACAGTGGTGGGGGAGTCTGTGCAATGCAGGGGGGAAGGACAGGAGTGGGAGGAACCTGTGCAATAGTCCCCAGGTGCTGAGAAGTAGGACAGACCTGATCCAAGATGCTCTAACAAGTTTATGGAAAGGAAATGAATTTGTGCAAAATGAGACTTGGAAAATGTTCCTTATTGTGTATTGTCTTTTTACTAATGAAGCATTAACCTGTGAAACTCCTTGCCAAAACATGTAGCTGACTTGAAGCACAGGATGACAAAGGAGCTTAGTTAGAGTAAGGACCTATATTTTTAACTGTGGACTTCCTTATCCAGGCACAATAGTGTGTGGCCAGCTTGTGCCCTGAAGCATGAAGGTGCATATTCCTTATGTGTTTACATCAACCACTGTGGGAGGGAGTGAACTCATTCTATGAAAGGCCTTCCTAGAATTCTCCATTTCCTTCACATTTCTGTGCCAGCTTGTATTTGATGCTTCAGGGGCAGGTACTAGACTAGTTCAACAATTGTCTGAATCAGTGTTTGCTCTGGCAAGGAGGAAAAGTGAGCATAGAAATACATCTTATGCTGTCACTGGGTTTGTTAAAACAAATCTCACACTGCCTGTGGTTCCTGTTTGTATGCCAAAATTCTGGTTTTGATACCTTCTTTCACTGTAAATGTGGAGTTCCTGGTGGGAGGTGGTTTGGAGGTTCTGACACCTCAAAAGTAAGTTTGAGGTTCTAGGAAAGGCAGGTAGGAACAGAAACATCCAGCTCAAGTTATCCACAGTGAGACTGACAATGGCAGCTGAGCTGTATACTTCAACTTTGGGTCTATATTCAACACCGAGGTGAATGGAGAAATTCACAATTAAAGTTTCTCTTGAGACTTGGGGAGGTAACATACCCGCAGGTCACATTTGTTCCCTCCTTGAGGCTTTCTTTACATTCTAGATCTAGAAACAATTTTCAGTATTCTTAGGTTCTCAGGCACAATTATATAACAAGTACTGATCAGGAGTGAAATCCTAAAATAGGGAAGCTGTAGCCATAGGATCCATAGGCATTTCAGTACCGCTTGAGGTCTTGATTTAAACCAATGCGCTCTTAATTCTTTGCCTCAGACATGGGGACTAAACATGCTATATAGGAAGTTTATTTCCTGAAATGTGACAATTAAGGGAGAAGTGGTCAAAACTGGGCTTATACGAGAAAACGTCTTGGAGCCTTAGCTATGGAGTTGCTGTCATGGTTCCATGCTGGAGACTCTGGTGGGACCTGATGAAACTCATTTCAGTTTCATACATAAGTAGGCATCTCGCAGGCAGTTTGCAGAATGAGCATCTGACAAATACAGTATGGCCATTGTAACTTCCTGTAAATCTTGAGACACCGTATTTAAATAAAGACCTTTTTATTATAGAGGTTTACTATATTTAGCGCAGGTTCCTCTGCTTCAGTCTGTAACTTGTGGGTTTGTACTTGAAAACTAACATAATCCACATAATCAACTAAAGTTAATCAATTTTTTACAATAGGCTTGGCTTTCTTTTACCTTAGACTTTTAACCAACCTATTCAATCCGAAAATTTCCATTTGTGGCTTTTCACACTCAAAATTGGGTAGGAAATTCCCCTCTTCAAGGGGGGTTTGTGCGAATGAAACATCTACTCAGATTTTAGCAGAGGAAATGCAAGTGTGAGTTCAGCCAGCCATACAACTGCTCTGTAAATGCAGAAGACATCTGCTTATTCTGCCTATATCTGCTACTTTGTTAAACTTCCATCAGGTTCAGAGCTCATGTATATGAGTCGGAAAGAAATGAGAATTGGTTTCTTTGCTGCGAGTCTAAGGTAAGATTTTGGTTGCAGAGTTGACACTTCTCCCTGTTCTTATCTTGCACCTGCACAGGAGCCCCTGGGGCTTGTGACGTATTGATTGCGTATACAGATGATGCCGCTGAATGGTGTCAGTATCTTCAGAATCTCTTCATCTCTTCTCGGCAAGTTCGAAAGCAGCGGATTCTGAGCTACAAGGTGGAGAGCGGGACTGCTATTCCCCATGAGGAGCTGGACCTATTCCGTAGTAGCCGATGCATCCTTGTGTTGCTCTCTGGTGAGCTAGTGCAGAACTTTTACATCCCTGCTGCCCTTCAGAGCCTTCAAGAAGCTTTGCATCCCCCACACAAAGTGGTCAAACTGTTTTGCGGTGTCACGGATTGTGACGACTATCTGACATTTTTCAAGGAATGGTATCAGTGGAAAGAGCTCACCTATGATGATGACCCTGAAGCTTACCTTGAAGCTATCAAGAAAGCTATTTCAGAAGGTAAGTTGGCCACCTTGGTTGCATGTTTTCTTTACCAGGGAGGCAGTGTGTGATGTTATTGATCTCCATTTTGTGTGCTGTAAAAGTATTTCCCTGAGTACACAAAATAAAGCAAATCCCATAAGCCTCTTTAGTCAAGGAAGCTCTCCAGACCAGAGCCCTTTACATCCACCCCACCAATGGGTTCTTCATTGGGAAAGATTCTCAACAACCTTCAGACAGTTCTTTTGTTTGGAATGCTTCATAGCCACTTATAATTGAAGAATCCCTAACATGGGCTCCTAGAAAGCAAGCTTAATTTTTCCAGTTAGGTAATAGTGTTTGTTTTACAGGTGCCAATGCATTTTCCAGTAGTTACCTTTGTACATCAAAAAATTCAGCCAAATTGGAAACGTGCTTCTGATCTGGACAGTGGGGAAAACATTGGCTTTGCTCTACCATTCCCACTGAAGGCAGTTACTGTTCACTATGATGCGTCTGACATCTGAAAAAGGCCAAAGCCCTCTTTTTAGTTCATAAGCAGTATTGGAGGTTCAATACGTACAGAAATGTTATTGGGCTCTAGAGAACCCTGAGCTGTGAAGCCCTGTCTGAGTCTAAACTTTGCCAGAGATCCGGGGATGCTCACAGTGCTGTCCTATCAAAAAGTTTTTACAGTAACAAATCAGGAGAACAGTGCTGGGCTTTAGGTTTGTGCTACAGCCAGAAATCTCTGTGAGTGCCAGTAATCTCCAGTAATCTCACAGGGGATTGAGAGCTGCTGGTATATCTCACAGTCTGAACCTTAGACCTTATCTATACTGGAAAGTCCTGCCTCTTTAATGATGCAATATAATTGTCAAGTTTGGCCAATCATACTTAAAAATATATTTAAGTTTTGCCACATGGGAAGGGGAATAACTGTCCTGGTATAAATCACTTTTTTACTGTTGTCATTATTATGGTAAAAAAATCATGCTTGTAAACAGAGTAGTCATAACAATAACATTATTTAGTATAGACCAGGTTATGTTCCCAGCACAGCTGAGCCACAGTAGCTCCTCCGTAGCTCAGGCTGCGGTGAAATATCTGCATTAGCTCAAATTTGGATCCCTCTTTCAAATTCACCAAACCTACTTTGACTTCAAAAAGGTTAGGTTTGGGAGCAAGGCAGGAGTTTCTCTGCTAAACTGGATGTGAATAGGGCAAAAGGGAGCTACACTTCTTTTCCACAAGAACCAGAACCAGATTTCAAAAGTCTATTTGCTGCTTTGCAGGGAAAAAAATCCTCCTCTAGGGGAGATATAGCACATGGTACTAACTTTTAGCTGATTAAAACATATTTCCAAAGTTAGTCTTTGGGAACATCTGTACAGCAGCAATTTTTCTGAAGCCTGTCAAAGGACCATTGGAAACCTATACCTTTAAAATGGGAGTAGGAATCAGCTGTTAGCTTCTTTGTTGCAAATAGCTGTGTCATGTAACTTGACTGATGGGGAGGCTTGTTAATGGGGGTTAGTGGGAGAATGTTAATTGCTGGATTGGTGGTCTCTTTATAAGCCTGGCAAATGTTTGATGGAGTTTCTCTAGTCCTTCCAAAGTGAGGAAACCCCTAGGAGAAAGAAGGACTTATCCTTATTCATCTTATTCTTCCAAATACCTGCTGTTTATCATTTTCCTTCCTGACATCCCCTGATCCTTTGATGGCTCCTAATGTTTGAGTGGCACCAGTGTGCACATGTGGCAGCAGCGTGCACTGCCCAAAACTGGAGCCCGGCTGGCCAGAGCCACGCTCCAGCTTCTGGCCAGGCTCTGCACACTGGATCACTGCCACTGAAGTCCTGGGAGGCCCTCAGGACCCCAGGTAAGGCTGCTGGGGGCAGCCCAGGTGCTGGCCCCAACCTCTCCTGCCCCACCTGGGGCAACTTGCCACACACCAGAGCACGCATGCATGGATGTTCCCTAGGGACAAGTAGCAGTGGCACAACTCACCCACTTTAAGTTAGAGGAGATGATTTTTCCCTAAGTTGCCAGGAACTGAGAATATAGTTAAGGTTAGACTGGAAAAGATGGCACCCAAGATAACTGCAGTTTGTTCCAGAGAAGTCACTTATGTGTACCCAAATACTAAAACAACAGCCAAACTATGATCTTATCTCATACAGACTGGGAATCACCTTATGCTGAGTCTTGTTCTGCATGCGCGTCTTCTAACTTAATAATATAAGCTCGTGTAGTTCCTATGGGAGGTGTGCTACCTCTTAATGCTAGCTGACTAGCTAGCAGCTTCTGGAATCATGGGTCTGACCTTCCAGGTTCTGAGCATCTACTGTGAAGTGCCAGATGGTCTCTGCACCTCTCAGGACCAGCCCCTATAGAAGAGATAGGAAATTATTCCATTCTGCATGGTGCTGTATTTGTCTAGTAGGGAACTGGTAAAATTCTTTCCGGTATGGATGACCATAATGTAGTATGATTGCTCTACAACTACAGTGAAACTTCTTGTGGGCAGGTGGTAGGAGTCTGATTTTCTCAGATGGAATCTTATAGCTTTCTCTATACCTATTCTTCTGAAAGGTAACATGCACTGAAACCACTGGCACTTGCCTGCAACATCAATTACAGCTAAATGCTATTTTTAATGAAGAGTGTGAGGTTTTGTGGTACAATTTTCATAATGAAAAACCCATCAAACTTTGTTTAGTTTCTTCGCCTGAACTCAAATGCATATATTGCCAATTGACTTTATTGTACTAGAGGCAAAAATTCATCAGAAGAAAAGATAGTGTAAATAAAATACCTCAGTTAAAACTAATTCCTATTTACCATGATGTTTCTCATAGTCTTTTTTCCAGGCAGTATGATTATGACTGGAATTACTTGCTTTATTCCAATTTTAACATTAACTCCCTCCTCCCCTCCCAACCTGTCTGGCACCTGGGACCATTTGAAGTATATAATGAGACACTTCTAAGATTATCAAAGCACACAGTTTTTTGTCACTCTGACTCTGAATTGTGAATCTGCTTAAAATATGTTATTCAAAACAAGATACAAGTGACATCTTCCATTAAAAATCCTTTCATTCACTGAGTGTGGATACACAATCCATAACCCGTCTCCTGCTGGACTGTGATATGATTGCAGAAAAGGTGGGATTGTAATTAAGGCTTTACGTAATCTTGGTTCAGTTCCAGTCTCTGCAACAGACTCCCTCTATGTTCTTGGGTAGGTCATTTAACCCTTCTGTGCCCTAGTTTGCAATTTTCTGCTAATCCCTTTCCCCACCCACTTCCATTCACATTTATGTCACGGGGGAGCATTAAATTAGGTTAATGCACATTAACCTATTTTAATGCATATTAAAGCATCACAAAAAACGGCGTTCTTTAGCTAATACACATTAAAATAGGTTAATGCACATTTTTCTAGTACCTCACAATGGAGGGTACCTGTAGACATGCTGGGAGGCTGCTACAACATGCTGTTACAGTTCATTGGAGGAGACTCAATTAATTGAGTCTGCTGGAGTGTGCTAATTAGCGTGCCAGCCTCCATGTCTCATGTATCAGTGTTCCTGTGCATCAGTTTATTTGAGGAGCATTAGTTAAAGTGCCCCTGCCACCAGGGACACTGATGCATGACATGCACAAGACACTGTGACACTTTAATTAGAATGGCTCCCCCACTACCTGCAAAGCACGTGTAAAAATGTCTGGAGGAGGTAGTAGATTTAATGTGGTTACTTAAAGTGCATTAACGAATATGTAGACATGCTCAGGGTGTCTCACTCTACAGTACCTACCATAATTCTAGTACAATGTGCCCTGATATTATCTGAGGCTTCTACTAATAATGTATCCTTGTCTGCCTGACCTGCTTGATCTCTTTCTATCTCTCATGATGGTTATAACTGGACATGTCCCACTGTAGTGGCAGCACCAGCAGCAAATGAACAATTAGTGAAATCTTAAAATTTCTGTTACTTGAATTCCTGACTGACTGAGCATGTAATAAAGAGCATCATAATGACAGGTAACTGGTAATATGCTATGTTTTGGCTCTAGAGTGGTAATGGTGGTCAGTACGTTTGGGCTCTGCTTTGGGGACTGCAATATTGCCTCCACTGCAGCTGCTAGTGTGGTTTACTTCATATTTCACTGCTGTGTCCCACCCTCAGATATCACATGCAGAATGCTATTTTAACTGCAGTGCTAGTTCTGTAGGAAGTCAGAAATGCGGAAACTCTTGTAGAGGCTGATACACCCAAGGTGATACTAGTACTTGAAATTGTGTAGCTCTTTAGTACTCACAAGGAGTTGTTGAGTGTTTCTGTTGTTTTCAGAGTTGTCATTTCAAGCACACCTACAAATTAACTTATTATGCAAAGCTTTCTGTACTCACATGAATAATTCCAGGTCTTCACCTGAAAGTGAAATGGGAAAGTGAGCTTCTGCTAGGATTCTTACTGAAATCTTCCCTGTAATAAGAACCATGCCCCAAGTTACTTAAAATTGAATTCTGTATCCAGAAATATAGTTCACATGTGGAAGAGACATGGAAATTGGAAAGTATGTCTGGAGAGGTCAGTTCTGAAAGACATCATATAAAGTGCTCTTTCAGGGGACTGGAGATGAGGGTAACTGTTTGATGTTTAAGTGAAAGGCTGTCGTAGACAAAAAAAAGGGTAGGAGACGTACTCTGGGGCAGATAGCAGGAATACTTGGGAGGTGATGGGCAGAAGGAAATGATCTGAGAAGCGGGTGGGACACGAATTCTGCAGAAACTTTTAAGATGATGGAGACAGCTCATAAGGGACTGAAAATTGACCCCAGATTAAATTGATGTGCAGTGAGCCTTGTTAGATAATATGAAAGCTTGATATAATCTTATGAAATCATGCACTGAGCCACCACCAGCAATGGAAACAAATTCTGTACCATTTGAAAATCCTGAGGAACCATGCTATGACACTCTTGTTAACCCTGTTGGCAATAAAGCCAAGGGATTCCTTTTTCCTA